TGATAATGACCTTGTAAGGCTTCCTTACCTGCCATATATCGTCATCCAAATGTTCCTGTTGATCCTCAGGATGATCCGAAATGCTCTCCTCATCACTTTCACTGCCATCTTCCTCCCCTTCATCTTCGTCTTCGTCCTCTTCCAGCATTTCTTCGTCGTCTTCGGGATCAGTATCGTCCTCATCATGTAATTCGACGTCACCGCCAGTAGTTGCGTCCATTTCTTCAGGATCATCCTCATCCTCGCTATCTTCAGAGACGAAATCATCCTCGGCATAGTCCATTTCGATATCATCCTCCTCTTCATCGTCAAGAGGCTCTTCGACCTCAGCAAAGGCGGCTTCCGCTTCCTATTGACGATGAGTGTACAAAACATTCTTCTTTCAATATACTTACCCCTCCGTACCTGTTGAAATATATGTGAATAATAGATATTCTTAAAAAGGGAGCACTCACATTCCCAATGCCGATGTACTATAAGGGTCGAGTGCTTCTTCCGTATCTGTGACCATGCTTTCCGCTTCACTATCCGTAGAAAAGTCCGCTGGCCGATCTGGTACTGTTGAAGGACCGTCAGCTTTTTCAGTTACGCGTCCAATTTTGATGGACACTTTCGTGCTGGAAAATCGTTATTTACCATTAGATAAAAGAGGTGCAGATCACATACAGTGTTTCGAGAGGAGAAAGTATTGAAGACGTGACCAGGGACGCCATGGGGTGAGCGAGATCGACCTCTGCCAAGACGGCAGAAAGTGAAGACACAAATCCCTTTTCCAACATGAGCTTGGCGATATGGAACAACGACTCTTCTTGTGGTTTTTGCGTTGTTGCATGGGGATTTGTCGTCAATAACTTTTGGCAGAGGTCACCAAGGGCGATAAATCTTCCATATCGTTGCTCAGTGGTTTCTGAAGAGTTAGGAGTATCTTTGAGAGTTTTTGTAATGGCATCCAAGACGGCTTTTCGAACCGTTGCTACGGAAGACGAGACAGATAGAGCGTCAACCGTCAAACTAACGTCAGAGCATAAAGCTACGACCATCGATTGGAATGGGTTCATCTTTGAACGTCTTCTAGATAAATCTCCCAAATCTCCT